GAAGCTGGTGTGGACACAGTGCTGTCTGGGGCTCATGATGAACGAGGTTTCCCAGGCCCTACCCGACCCAGGCCGGCCTCTGCCTTTGTAACAAGTGTCTAGGCGGCTCAGAAGGAGGAAGCCAAGCAGTGAACTTAACATCAGGGGCGCTGGAACTAGGCTGCTAGGGTTTCAACTCGGTCTTCAGGATTCAGTGCCCCTGTAGTTTTGGTGCCTCAGTTTCCCTAGATGAATTGCAGAGGATTACAGCACCCACCACACTGACTGTGCCATGTCAGGCCTGGCATTATTTTAGGTGCAGAGGGCTCGAGAAGGACTAAATCGGGTTCCTTGCCTCTAAGATGCTCAAGGCTCACAGGTGTGGAAATGGGCGATCGGGATGCAGGGTGGTAAGTGCCCTGTGCGTGGCTGGCTCTGAGCACACCAGCCTTGGAGAGCAAGGAAGGCCTCCTAGAGGAGGTGATATCAAAGTTCTGCAGGATGAGTAGGAGTCACCCAGGGCTGAACGCCAGGTGCCGGGGAACACACGCCGTAGTGCACATTCTGGGCCGCCCGCTGAGTCAGAGCGGATGAGGTGTGTAGCGTGAGAGGCAGGACTGTCAGGGTTTGAGGCTGGGAAGATGCGCAGCCTCTTTGGGTTGAATTGGGTCCCCGATGCCTTCGGTTTTGGCCAGCTCATCTCACACACGGCACATCCTTACCACGAAGGCCACCTGGTGAGCCGATCAACAGCACTCGCCCTGGACCAGCCAGCCAGCACTCTGTCTTGGTACAAGAAGCCACAGAGGCCCGGCTCCCCGCCCATGGAAACACATGACCACTCCAAGTGAGAGGAGTGTTAAGTAATTGTGGGTTCATGCTTCCAAAGCATCTCATGGAGATACAGGGAAGTCTTCCAGGGGCCCCAAGCTTCTCGGGTGTCTGTTTAGTCATTCGTGGTACCAGAAACGTCCAGAATTCTCCACACTTTGGGAGCACTGGAAGTTTTCACTTCCAGGGAAAACTGACATGGGCTAACTCTTGGAAGGTGAGTAGAAATGAACAGGAAGACAAAAGAAGGAAGGACGTGAGGTGGAGAAGATCAGCCAATGTGAGAATCAGGGCTGGTTCGAAGGACTCCAATTATGGCTCAAAAGGAGAGGACTGGTGAGACACGAGGAGAGGGAGGCAAAGGCCTTCGGGTTAAACGAAGGAGTTTGAAATTCATACTGAATGAGACCTAGTGAAGGTCTCAGTAGAGGAATAGGGTGATCAGTGGATTCACTGCGATACTCTTGGCTATAAGGGACAGAGCCCATGGCTACAACAGCTTAGGTAGCGGAGGCTGCTGATTTCCCTCAGGAAGACAATGCCAGGGCTGGTGCGGCAACTCGGCAATGTCACCAAGAGCCAGGGTCCTTTCTGTCTCTTACCCCAGCCGCAGCCTCTCTGTGGCTGCACTCCTCAGGATGGCAAGAAGGCTGCTATGGCTCCGGCCAACATGGCTTCTACAACATCCAGAATAGGAAGTGAGGAGGCATCTGTCTCAACGAGTGTCTCTCTCGTCTGGGGGAATTTTTGGTTATTACAACCGGGGAGAAGCTCATGACATCTAGCTGGTAGAGGCCAAGGATGGAGCCAAACAGGACAAACTCGCATGAAAGAAAATTGCCAACGTGGCAATGGCGCCGAGGTTGCAAAGCCCTGGCCTAAACTGATTGGGTGCCCTTAGCTTAAGCAGGGAAGGTGGGGTTCCCTCCCTCACTCTACAATTGGAGCTGAGAGTCCAAAGATCCCCCTCTCTGGCTTGGCTTCTGTGTGACGCTAGACACTGCCAGATATGTAAATAAAGCCCCACTTGGTATGGTTTAAGTGTAAGAAATGAAACCATAAAACCAGGCAGGCAGAAATAGTTACCAGATGGCTAGGGAAAGGCCTTATAAAGATATTTATATGTTTTCATATGCAACCCATAAATAGACTACATCCATGCTCCTCAGCTCATGCCATTAGAGAAGGGAATTATCATCTGTCAGACATTGAATTGCTGTCGACCTTTCTTTCTATGTGATACATCTTTAGTTCCTGAAATTTCCATTCCACTGTTGTGTTAAATGGAGTGCCCTTCATTTTTTCAAATTTTCAAAGCAGAATGGGTGGATTGATTTTGCTATGATGGGGGCAGGGATGAGGGAGGAGGGGAGGACATTGGCTTAGAGGTGAGTGTTGCTAACCTACAAGAAATACAGCTTGTGTATGGTCACCCCCAAATCTGATATTTCCGCCAGAGGTTTCTGGTTTGGCTTAAGTTTTTTAGAGATGCATTGCTGACCTGGTATTTTTATTCTTCCTTTTCCTGTTTCTTGGGTGTTTTTTTTTTGTTTTGTTTTTTGAAAATGAGAGTTTGAGCTCTGCTGGTTAAGTGTGGTATAAGAATGTCATGTATGTATGTATGTATGTATGTATGAATGGATGTGTGGTTTTATATATGTTTCCATGTCAACAAAGTTAGCTCACCAAGTTCCAGGCTCCTTCAATAACAAAAGATGTGGTTCTCTTTGTAGCCCATCATCACTATAAAATTATCAGCTGGAAAAACATAAAATAAAATAGTAAACCAAGTTACTGTGCCTGAAAATCTTCACCAAGTGAGTTATTGGAAACTAGATAGCATACTTTTAAATACTCCAAGGATCAAAGAAGTCTCTAGGGGAGTAAAAAATACATTGAATAAAATAAAAATACAACACATCACATGTTGTGGGAAACTGTTAAAGCAGTGCTGAGAGGGAAATTTATAGCACTAGATGCCTACATTATGTCTCACATAAATATCTACTTTAAAAACATAGAGAATAAAGCAAAATAAATCCAAGTTAAGTAGAAAGAAGGAAAAATAAAGATAAGAGCAGAAATGATAAAATTGAAAACAAAAACCAACAGTGAAATGAGATAAAAAAAAATTTATGCTGGTTGAAAAGATCAATAAAAGTGATAACCCTCTAGAAGAATGACAAAAAAGAGAAAGACACAAATGACTGATACCAGGAGTGAAGTAGAAGATAGCACTACGGACTCTGCAGCCACCAATAAATAATAATCAAATCCTACGAACAGCTCTACAGCTTAGGGAAGTAGACTAATTCTTCAGAAAACACAGACTACCACAACTCACCAATTTGAAATAACTTGATTAGCCTGACAACTATTAAGGAAACTGATGTCATAATTTAAAACTCTCAAGAAAGAAGTCTCCAGATTCAGATAATTTGACTAGAGAATTCTTCCAAATGTTTAAAGAAGAGAGAACACTTCCCAACTCATGTTGTGAGACTGGTATCAACCTGATACCAAAACTAGACAAAGAAAGTACAAAAATAAATATAACTACAGACTACTATCCCTCACACATGTACATGAATAAAATCCGTAGCAAAACATTAGCCAGTAGCATATGGGGTTTATTCCAGAGATTGACTTCAAGTCAATGTTGTAATCCACTATATTGAAAGGCTAAAGAAGAAAAATCACATGATCATATCAATGGATATAGAAAAAAACCCTTGACGAAATTCAACAGCCATTTGTGATAAAACTCTCAGAAAAACCAGGGATGGGAAAACTTCCTCAACTTGATAAAGAATATCTATTTAAAAACCTATAGCTAACCTCATATTAAAGGTGAAAGATTGAGTGTTTCCCCATAAGACTGAGAACAAGGCGAGGATGTCAGCTATCAATACTCTTATTCAGTCTAGTGCTGGAAGTCCTAGACAGCTGAATAAGGGGGCGGGGGCGGGAGGAATACTTATTTGAAAGGAAGAAATAAAACTTCCCTGTTCAGAGAGGACAAGATGGTCTACATAGAAAATACCAAAGAATATTAAAAAAACAACAAAAACAAAAAACTGACACGATTCCTAGAATAATAAGCAAAGCTGCAGATACAAGAGCAACATGTAAAAAAATCAATTGTATTTCTATGCAGTAGCAATAGAAGTGTGGAAAGCAAAATTAATGTACAATTAATGTATAACATTTCTCTTAAGAAAGAAACACTTATGCATAAATCACCAAAATGTGTACAAAACAGGTACAGTGGGGCCTTAACTTACGAATGTCCCGACTAACGAGTTTTTTTGCAGTGAGTTGGTAGAGTAATTTGCGTTAACTAGCTCCTTAACGAGTTCCTTAACGAGCTTGGTCTCGGAACTAATTAAACTCGTAGGTCAGGGCCCCACTGTATGCTGAAACTACAAAATGCAGGTAAAGCAAGGACATCTACATAAATGGAGAGACATACCATTTTCATGGGTTGGAAGATTCATCAGAGTCAACATACAAGAGACATCCTTGCCTTGTTCTGGGTCGTCCTCTAAAAAAAACAGAACACATGCTGTATGATCCCACAACTGCACTGTTAGGCATTTATGACCAAGAAATAAAAACTCATGTTTTCACAAAAAAACTATACATGTTTATAGAAAGTTTATTCTTAATAGCCCCAACCTGGAAACAACCAAAATGTCTCTTAATAGATGAATGGCTAAATTCCATATCATGGACTACTACTCAGGGGTTTTATGATTAGTAAAACAAAAGAAAAAGAAAAAAAAGAGAGCACTCTCAAAAGGTCACGTACTGTGCAATGTCATTTACATAACACTCTTGAAATGACAAAGCCATAGACATGGAAAGCAGGCATGGTTGCCAGGGGTTAGAGACGGTGGGGGCAGGTGTGACTACAGAGGTAGCGAGAGGCAAGTCATGGAATAGCTGTGAATTCAAGTCAGGAAGGCTCGGGTGTATGCAAATTAAAGCTGTCAGCTGTCATTTTTTAACCCATGTGTTGGGCAAAAATTAGAAAGTCAGATTGTTAGGATGAACAGCTCCTAATCTCTCCTACTTGGACATGTTTTCTGAAATAGAATTTGTTAGAAGCCTTTTCCCATAGCTCGGGGCAGACAGCTGGCGCCTGCAGAAGCAAGATAAGATGAATCCCCCTTCGCCTGACTGACCTGTGGCCTCTCCTCCCTTAATTCCCTTGCCCCACTCGTGCCCTCCCCGCCATTCCCTCTGCTTGACTGTCTGGCGCTGCCGCAACCTGACCCTATGTTGCATGCTTCCGCCCTAGATAAGAGAACCCAACCATCCCCTTGGGGCTGACACCCACACACTGGTCTCAGCCTACTGTGAGAGAGCGCAATAGAATTTCTTAAAACCCTCATAACATCTCTTGGCCTGGCTGCTTTCTGGGGACCTACCACAGAGAATGTCAAGGGCTGACAAGGATGGGGAAAGAGAGGCCCCAGGAGGCGAGCCTGTGGGAGTGTGAATTGGTGTAGTGTCCTGAAGACAAGCGGGGATAACTTAAGGCTGCACGTTCCCTCTGATTGGGCAGCTCCACTCTTAGGCTGCGCACCCAGAGGAACTTGGCTAAGGTCACCAGAAGACAGCGGGAAGATGCTCAGGGCAGCGTAGTTGGTGGCAAAGTCTGGAGTGTCTGTTAGTAGGAAACGGACACATAAAATGTTGGTACATGGACACGCAGGAAGACAAGGCAGAAGTCAGAAGTACTTTTACTACAGCTGCATGGGTCTAGCTCAAAAAAACATCATGCTGCCCTGGCTGGTTTGGCTCAGTGGCTAGAGCATCGTCCTGCAGACTGAAAGGTACTGGGTTTGATTCCGGTCAAGGGCACATGCCTGGTTGCAGGCTCGATTCCCAGTAGGTGGCCGAAAAATGTTTCTTTTTCATCATTGATGTTTCTCTCTCTCTCTCTCTCTCCATCTCTCCCTTCCTCTCTGAAATCAATAAAAATATATTTAAAAACAACAATATCATACTGAATTTTAAAAAGCATCCCAAGTGATATTTGATGGCACAGTGTCACTTACGTAAACTAAATGCATGCATACTGGAGTTTTCAAGAACATACCTATGTATTCTCTTGGCGCAGATCACCGATGTTGCAGCAGGCCATGGTGAGGAGAACATTCCATCCAATTCTGTGCAAAAATGTTCCAGGCATGATATTAGGGGTTGATTGGTCAGGTTTGGGAACCAGACCAACCTCTTCCGAATGGGTAGCTTTCAATCTGGGCTCCACACTAACTCACTCGGGAAGTTTGAAAACACTGATGTCTTGGTCCCACAGCGGGAGGTTTCAGTTTGATTGACCTGGAGGGCAGGCCTGCACTGGCAGGATTTTCCAAAGTCACTCCCCTCCTCCCCTACACCCCCATCTTCGTTTCACCCAGTGATTCCAGGTACAGCAAGATTGAGTACCACTGCCCAGGGCTCAGATTTTTATGCTCCAGGGAATCCTGTCATTTAGGCAAATTCTGATGACACTTGAGCCTCAGGGTCCTTAGCTTTGAAATGGGAGACAAAGGCCTTGCAGACTTGAATGGTGGAAATGGGATGTTGGTCACTGACTGCCACTCAGAGGTGGCTCCACGAACCGCAGCCTTGGTTATTATTATTTTTTAAATGAGAAGATCATTGAATTCATCAAAGTTAAAAGAGAGAACTGTGAATCCGGATACACCCACATTTTCCCTGGGGAAGAGGGAACCCTAACACAAGGGCTGAACCTCCGTGGTCCTGAGTCCCCACCAGGTCAGGAAGCTGGCCTTGTTGGCAGTTTCCATTTGAAGGCGCCAGAGAGATACGCTGTGGGCCACTGCCCTCTATTGAAACAATATTGCCATTTCCAAGTAGAGAACAGACTTGTCATATGACTGCACTTGAATGTCAACTCATTGGGGACGAGGCTGGCTCCTGCGTGAGCACTCGCAGAAAATGTGGTCCTTCTAAAGAAATCCCTGTAATTATAATAGGCAAGCCAAGGCACTTTCTTATCTCCATTCTAAGCATTTGACATACGCTATTAGGAAAGAATCTATTGTCACAAACACAATTCATCACACTGCAGACACAAGGGGCAGGAACTATCATTGCCTCCATTGTATAGATGAGGACGCTGATCCGAAGTCACACAGCCAGCAAGCAGCGAGGCTGGCTCCAGAGTCTATTCCTAACACCTCCACTATTTTGCCTCTTGAATGCCTCTGGCTTCTTTGCCTTGATGGCGACAGTTGTCCTGCAACCTGGATTACTGTCCAAATAGGTTTTCCCTGCTCAACACACCCTTGTCCGTGCCCCATCCCCTGGGACACATTCCCTCTCTTCCCAGCATTGAGTCTGCATCAGTTCTCGCTTCCAGATCCCTCAGGAGTTCGGCCGTGACCTGCATCTCTGATTGGCCTGTGCTCTCCCCAGATGCCCTCACAGGTGCCCGCATTATACATGATCATTAAATCAAGGAACTGGGACCTTGACTCGATGTCATGAAAACCCATAATGCTGGAGGAAGCCAAATGAGTTCATGGCCTCTCTGATACGCTCCTTCCCCTGC